CTCTCTCCTTCCCCTCTCTCTTTGTCTTTCTTTTCTTTCTTTCAGATTCAAAATCCCTCTAGGACAGCACTGGTCCAAACGAAATATAATGGAAGCCACAAATGTGAACCACACATGAAATTTAAATTTTTCTGGTAGCCACATTTCTAAAAATTAAAAGAATAAGCAGAGCACAGAAAATTTTTAGAGTCATGACACTATTCTGTATGATACCACAATGACGAATACATGTCGTTATACATTTGTCCAAATGCATAGAATGTACAATGACAGGGGTGAAACCTAACATAAACTATGGACTTTGGGTGATAATGGTGTAGGTTCATCAGTGCACCACTCTGGTGGGAGATGTCCATAGTGAGGCAGGCCGTGTGTGGGGACAGAGGGTGTACGGGAGCTCTCTATGCTTTCCGCTCAATTTTGCTGTGAATTTTAAACTGCCATAAAATATAAAGTTTATTAATTTAAAAAATTCTAAATTGTAAAAAAGTAAAAGAAACAAGGAAAATTAATTTTAACAATCTATCTTATCAACCCAATATATCCAAAAATATCATCATTTCAACATGTGAACAATATAAGAAATTAATGGAATATTTCATTTGAGGGGTACTAGGTCTTCAAAGCTTGGTGCGTATTTTACACTTAGAGCTCATTTCCATTTTCACTAGTGACAAGCCACATTCCCAAAACTCAATGGCCACATGTAGCTCATGGCTCCCAGATTGGTCAGCGTAGGCCTAGAACTTGGTTTGACCCCAAGAGAGGACAGAGGGTAGAGGTTCTGGTGGTCTGATTTACCGACCCTCTTTATCTTCACCTCCCACCTGCTTCTCCCTTTGGAAAATTCCTTCCCAGCTGACTTGAGTTTTCTCATCTTCCCCGGTGACCTTTGCCTGCCTGGTTCTTGGATGCTATCCTGGAAACCTGTGTCAGCTGCCCACCATCTTTTGCCCTCCTGACTCCTCCATCATTCCATCATCCCAGGGTTTCCATCTACCCACTGCCACCTCCCACTCTCTGGACTTTGGGTGTGGATCCTACCAGGAGTTAACACGGGAGCCATCCCCGATCTCTACCCCTGAAGCTCGCTGCTCTGGTGACCACCTCATTAGTAAAGGCTATGAAACAATATTCCTACCAGCCAACACTTACTGGGTGTGCAATGCCAGACAAATCCATGGCGGATCGCCTTATCTAATCCTCCAGACCACCTTGAGGGCTGGAACCATACTGCACATAAGGGCTCTCCTATCAGCTAGTGAACACTAATGGGGTGTAGCCTGTATTCAGGTTAGGGGAGGGGGTTGAAGGCCCCTTGGGAAGAAAGGCCTGGGGACCACCTAGAGGGTTGAACCAAGTTTATAAAAACGTCCTCCATTTTGCTGGAAGATCTTAGCAGTCCCTGAAATTTGCCCAAGTGTCTTTTATGTGCTCCCCGCTCACTGCCACGCAGGAACCCTTAGGAGCCCCCGGGATGAGGAATCTTGGAGGTGGGGGGTGGGGGGGAACCTACTGGCCCAGAATGAAGTCTGTGCTCTGGGACTCCCTCTAGCGGGCAGGTCACCTTCTTGCTCCACTAGGGAGCATCCTGGCAATTTACCTTGGCAAACATCCCAGAGAGGAGAACCCTGTGGGGCAGGGAGGGGCTAGATTGGCACTCTCTTATGGGGCGGGACAAACATCTAACCTGCTGAGGAAAACCAGGTATCCACAGTACCAGGAGAGGCAAAACTAGGCATCTACGGGCACCATGAGCGGCCGAGTCGGGGACCTGAGCTGCCAGCAACAGGAGGCACTGGCCAAGGTGAGGAGCTTCTCCTGTGGGGAGGCTTGGGGAGGGGCCAAGCATCCGTGGCTGGAGCCCCTATTATACAGACAGGAAAAGGGAGCCTGGAGAGTGCCTGCGAGCAGTTGCTAAGGCGACTGTGTTCAGGACACAGATCAGGAGCCCCTCTCCTGGTAAATCCAGCTTTCCACTCCTGCCAGCTCCTGGCCATGGAGCCCTGGCCCTTGTTCCCTGGTTGTGGGGAGAGAGGGGTGGGTTGCGCTACCATCCGGCTTTTTGGCAGAGTTAGGCAGACATAGTCTCAGATCCTCTATCAAGATTGCACCATTTCTGCGGAGATTGCAACTTTTGTTTGGTTTCTCTTTGTGGCTTTCTGACTCCTCAGGGTCCAAGCTTTCTCCCTATTGTCAATATTTTTATTAAAGGGGAATGAAGGAGTTTTTGGTGATATTAAGACAGTCCCGAAGGCCACATCTAGGAGTGTCACCGCCATGGGGAAGGGGGATCATATCCAAGTCTTAGGTGCCACAGCATTAATTTGGTTTGCAGGGACTGGAAATTGTGACTCAGGCTGTGGGACAGGGATAAGTCACAGCCCTGGCTCGCACTTTGGGCCTGTGAAAGGGCAGATTCCAACTTGTGGAGAATGATTTGTTTTGAGGCTCCTATCCTGAGGAAGATCTGAAGGTCCTCCAAGGAAGAATGAGGGACCCCAGTAAAGGAGGGGGGCCTTGAGTGAATTCTTAGGGAAGGAGAAAAGGGAGGGTCCCAGGTGAACAATGGGGTCCCAGGGTGAATTCCCAGGAGATTCCAGAAGCAGAGGGCCTCCAAATGAAGGAGGCGTCCTCAGGTAAAGGAAAAAGGGTCTCTGGGGAACCCTCTCCTCCCCACTGGCAATGGCCTCAGAGAAGCCCCAGACACTAGGCTCCTAAGAGGGACTGGACACCTGGCTTTTGCGGGGTGAATTATGATGGAGATGCCTGTGGACCAAAGAGTTTAAACAACACAAAGAGAATTTATTCTTATTTTTACCATTACTTAAAGGAAATGAATGCTATTTTTTAAATTAGGGAAAAAGAGAAAAGTAGGAAGAAGCAGGAAAGGCCACCTAGGGTCCCAGAGGTCAAGACAGCCATGTCTGGGAACATTTCCTTCCAGCTCTTTCCTAAGCCTAGTCTTGACCACCCGGGGTTGCACTGCCAGATGCTACTTTCTCCACATGACATCATCATAAGTTTTTTTCTCCAAGTTGCTCCAGACACTTCCTGCTACCTGCTTAGTGGCTTTCTTTCTTAGCTGCTTGAGCAGCCTTGAGATAGGAAGATACGGACTCCTCCTAGGCTTGCAGCTTTCTCACTCTGTCACTCTGTCCCTAGGGAAGAATTTAGTAATCTGGAGGAGATGAGGAGTACAGAATTACTGTTTCTCGGGTAGTACTGGCCCTCTTCCCCCTCAAAAAATTCCTCAGGAACCCAGAGGCTACAGCTGTTCATTGTGCAAGAAGCTTCATTCCAGGTGCCTGTCCCAAGTGGAGATTATTATAGAAGATGCCGTTGCTCATGTTGTTAATACTGGAGCTATTTGAGCTGATTATTCATTTTTAATTATGTGAGCAATACATGAACACATCTTTATTTTAAATATCATCCATGAAGCTAAAGCTGGTTTGGCGGGTGGCCATCAAGGCAGCTTCCTGTGGCTCTGCTGTCATCTGCATTCTAATTGCAAATTCTCAGTCACAGGTTTTCCTGCATACCCAGTGCTCTAGGCCTCACCTTCAGCTCTCTTCATCCCCATGGAAGTGGGGTCTCCTCTTTTTGTCAGACTTGAGCCTCAGTTCCAAACTCAAACTTCCAGAGGCTTCCGTAAACTCTGCCAGTAGAAAAAAGCACCCCCAATGGGTTGGCCGCCCTCCTTTCCCTGTCCTGACCGTGCCCAGATAAGGCAGCCCTGGCTTCTCTTTCAGTCCCTCCCTGCTGACCTTTGCCTTGGGTTGTTTCCACAAAGACTCCACAGTCCAGGGCTCTGGGCAGTCTGTGTTTGCTGAGCACCCACGTTTATGTGGCACCTGCTGCAAGCTAGTGCTTTGCCTGCACAAACTCATTTTTATCATTATTATTATATGATATGTCTTTGTTATATAAAACTCTAGTTTATCATTATTCCCACTTCACAGATGAAGAAACTGAGGCTCAAGCGCTTCAGTAACTCTCTTACAAATCTGGGCCCTCAAGATGCAGTATTGGGGTAATGTTCCCAAAATGCTCTGGTTGGCCTGCATCAAATTCACCAGAGATCTTTGCAAAAATAGTGATGCCAGGGCCCCACATCAGATCTATAGAATGAGAGTTTTGTTGGGCAGAGATCCTCTTAAGTTTGAGAAAGGAGCTCTTTCTGCCATGGTGGGCTGGAGGGGTGCCCCATCTCCAGGAGACAAAATGGCCCTGGCAGCTGCTGCTAACTACACAGTCTCTGCCTACAGGTCCCTGGACAGGGCTGATGGGCTGGCTGAGGGTGGGAAGGGTCAGGGATGGGGTTGGGGACTCGGGAGTTCTGGGAGTTCCTCTGATAATCATATCCCCACCCCACCCCCAGTTCCGAGACAACCTCCAAGACCTGCTGCCCACCATGCCCAAAGCTGATGACTACTTCCTCCTGCGCTGGCTGCGAGGTGAGGCCGGTGGCATCGGCGGATCCCAGGAGAGGGTGTGGGAGGCTTTGGGGGACAGTGCACAGGGTAGTAAAGAACAGGGCTCTGGAATCAGCCTGCTTTGGGCTGGAATCTAAGCTCCCCTTCAAATTGGTATGGTACAAAAACTTAGCGGAGCCTCAGTTTCTTCATTTACAAAGTGGGGATGGGCCAACTCCCCCCAGGCTATTGTGAGTGTTAAATTAGAGGGTGTAGTGCCTGGCATCAGGTGGGTACAGGGTCAAGGTGAAGTTAGAGTCAACACCTGGGGAGCTCTCAGGATGACAGGCCTGGCCAGATCCTGACTCAGATATGGCTGAATGTGGACTTCAGGACCTGCTTTTGGGTCTATCTCCAGTTCCTCGAAGATAAGGCTATGTCATCCCCATAGAGAATCTAGCACCAAGTCGGTGCCAGTGAACACTTCAAGTGGATGTAATTAAAGGTAGAGAAGGAGTGTCTTCTAGGAATTGCTGCAACAGTGTAAAATTATTATAATAACAGAAACCAACCTAGGGCTTAAGGAAAAATTCATTTCAACTCAGCACATCCCATGGAATGGATTTTGAACTTGATAATCAAGGCAGAGTTGGTGGCCTTGGTGGTTTTTTTCTGGAGGTGGTTCATGATCAGGGCAGAAGAAGCCTAATAGCATCTCAGGCCCCTTCCACTTGAAAATCCCTGACCCTGGCTCTTATTGAAGGCCCATCACTGCACAAATTCCTCAGTGAACCGATAGTCTCGGAGGGCAACGGTCATGGCATTTCTAAAATAAAGCATCACGTTTTCATTTAAGTGCATTTATTTCTTCAAAATAAATAATAACAACAATGGCTACCACTTATTAAAAACTTACCGTGAGTCTAAAACTTACCGTGAGCCATGCCATCCTGAAGGTGTCCCCATCTTGTCTGATCTCGGAAGCTAAGGGTCGGGCCAGGTTAGTACTTGGATGGTTGGACCGCTTAGGAATACCAGGTTCTGTAGATGTTAAAAGAAAAATAAAAAAAGGAACTTACTGTGAGCCAGATAATGTGCCAAGCACTGAACATACTTTGTCTCATGTCATCCTTTGACTAATTCTGAAAAAAATGTTATTCTCATTTAACAGATTTAAAAACTAAGGCTCAAAGAAGGAAAGTGACTTACTCAAGGTTGCACAGCAAGTAAAAAGACAAAACTAGAATTCAAGCCCAAGTCTTCCTGACTCCAAAGCCCATGCTCCTCAATACCCTAACACCGAGGGCTCTCTGCTCCCAGGGGGATGCCAAATATCACAATGTAGAGCAGCCTCGAGAACTAAGAGTTTGAAAAGGCCTAGAAACTGAAATCAAGAGCCCTCCAAAGTCATCTAGAGAATTAAAGATTATTGCATTTTACCAAACTTTCCAGACACACAATATATTCTTGAGTGTGTCAAGAAAAGTCTTGGGGAACCCCACTATTTCCTCATGAACTTTCAAAGAATAGCTAGATCTCATTCTAGATCTGGCCTCAAGCCTCTTCTTAACCTCTACTCTTCTTACAGCTCAGAACTTTGACCTGAAAATATCTGAAAACATGCTCCGGAAGGTGAGGCCCATTCTCTTGAGTGTCCTGCCTCTCATGCACTGTACCCCAGGGATTAGGGACAAAAGGTGGAGACACTAGCTCTATCCCCTTGTCATGTTTCTTCTTCCGTCTTCTTTGGATCACTTTCTGCATCAGACCCGAATCCCCCACAATCCTCCTCCTGGCATCCCCATCCCTAGTTCTATGTCATTAGAGTCTGGGGATGCTCTGGCAGGATCTTGGTGGCTGTGGGCAGAGGCACCTGGCCTGATGCCCCCAAATGCCCTCAAAGCTTTTGAGGCAGGGAGTCTTCAGGTCCTGCCATGTCTCTACAGCACATGGAGTTCCGGAAACAACAGGACCTGGACAACATCCTCACATGGCAGCCCTCAGAGGTGAGCCCCATGCAGCATCCTCTAGGCCATCTGATACCCACCCCCCCATCTCACTTTCCCACTCCAGCCATGTCCAGGCATCTGATGGAGGAGGGACATGACCTGATGGGCTGGTTTGAACCATAACCTCACCCCAGGTGATCCAGCTGTATGACACGGGTTGTCTCTGTGGCTATGACTATGAAGGCTGCCCAGTGTGGTTCGACTTGACTGGGACCCTTGACCCCAAAGGTCTCCTCCTGTCAGCCTCCAAGCAGGAGCTGATCCGGAGCCGCCTCAAGGTCTGCGAGCTGCTTTCACAGGAGTGTGAGCTGCAGAGTCAGAAGGTGAGGGACTGGGAAGTTGGGAGGGCCACGGTTGGGGAGTGTTAGGGGTGGGGGTGTGGGGAAGAGGGGCCTGTTGGGCCCAGTCTGTCTAAAGGATGGCACTAGGACAAGGGTAGGGAGTCATCTTTCCCCCGTTTCTTTGCAGCCCTCAGCACTCCAGGCTCTGGTGGGACATGGTTTCTCCTATAGGCTCCTATCCACAAGCATCTGAGATGTGCATGGCACTCTTTGCTGGTGTGAGCCAAGGGTCACTAAAGGCCTTTCCCTTCTCCTCTGACCTTGAATGAGATGCTGACCTTGGGTGCAGTGAATGCTTTAGTTCTTTTCCTTGGGAACCTTGGGAACAGTAGATGGTCAGCTTTGCTTATGAAAAAGGCCTCCCTGATTGTAAATTGCATAATCACCAGATGGGAGAGCCATCACTTTGGGTAGCTTTAAGAGCAGTGACCCTGGAAACTGGGCACATCCTTTGTGGGTCCCTAGAAGCTACTATGGCGTTGCTTAAAAAAAAAAAAAAAGATTGAGTCCTGTGGGACATGGGTCTTCTAAGCCAAGAAGGACCCACTCCCGCCTTTGAAGATCTTCTCCTCACCCCTGACTCTGTTTCCTGTACCCCACAGAGTGAATCTAATGCCTTGTTGGTTTCTTGAGACTAAGTATCCAATGAGCCTAAAGAGAAGACCCCCAGAGGAAGCTGTTATGTCACTGTGGGATGATTTGGTGAATGGATTACTTCTTATGATGTGGACAGGGCTTATGTCCCCAGCATCTGGCACAGTGCTGGACAAAAAGGACCTCCACAGAGATTTGTGACAGGCATGAAAGAATTATAATGCGCTGTATTTAGTGCCTGATTTGAATAGACATGTGTCTCTCAAACAAGATGGCTGATGTTATAGGGTCAAAGCAGTGTCTTCCACATAATGGACATTCTCAGTTGGAGCCAATGATTATGGTGATGATGAAACTACTAACAATATCGACTAATATTTACCAGGGACCGGCTATGGGCCAGACACTGGGCTCATTGAGTCCTCACAGCAATTCTAAAAGAGCCTGGAATTATCCCAATTTTACAAAAAAAAAAAAAAAAAGGGAAGGATCAAAGGGGTTAAAAACCCACCCAAGGCCACACAGCCTGCTAGCAGTGTAGCTCTGCCTTGCACTCAGCTGTGGGACTGCAGATACTGGCTGACGTAGTATACTATTGTACATAAAGATGCCCACTGAACAACCAACCACGTCTTTTATTCCATGATTAGCTAGCTCTAGGCACTAGCGTTGAACAAATAGTGTGATAAAGGCCACTGTGCTGGGACTCAAATGTGGCATCTTGTCAGACCTTAGATGGGTCCATATGTTTCAAAAATACTGTGGGAAGCCAGGGGTGGGGGTAGCAGGAAGGTGGAGTGGTGCCCAGGTCTCTTTCTAGCCAGGATCTCCTAGCTGGACCTGTTGTCTGACCTGTTCTGTCCTGTGTAGCTGGGTAGGAAGATTGAGACGATGCTGATGGTGTTTGACTTGGAGGGGCTAAGCCTGAAACACCTGTGGAAGCCAGCTGTGGAGGTCTACCAGCAGGTAAGGCAAGCAGCTAGCTCGAGGCCAATAGGGAGCCACTGCCCACACCAAATTCTGATCCATGGAGGGGGATGCCTCCCAGGAAGCCCATAGAGCAGATGATGAAGCTGGCCTGGGGTCTCTCCTCCAAAGAGAAAGAGGAGCAAGCATATCCCAGAGGCCAAAGTACATGTTCATGGGAAGGCCGGAGAGTAGGGGGAGTGGGAAGCTCATCTCAGCAACCTCAGGGACCACCAAATCCAGGCAGGGATGTGGGAGCATGGCCTCCACCAGACTCTTCTTAACTCCACAGTATTTTGCCATCATGGAAGCAAATTATCCTGAAACGGTGAAGAATTTAATTGTCATTCGAGGTGAGGATGACTGAGGAGAATGAGTGGAGAATGCTGGGGGGGACAGTGTGTAAGCCATTGAGTTCAGGGCTCCTCAAACCATCTTTTGTGAAGAATGGTTTTTTGGTTCATTTGTTTTTAGCTCAGTCCTTCACAGACTGATATTTTTGGAATATACAAAAGCAGGTACAGCCATGTCACATAGATCATAAGTGTCTAAATCCTTACTATTATTTTCATTATTTATCTAGGTGTAAACTGGTAACAGAGAGTCCATGGGCCACACAGGTTGGTGGGCACACTTTGAGTGAGAATGGACCATGTCTGTGATAAACATACAGTGAGGGGTCACTGCATGTGCTTCCGGTCAGATGATCTGGCTTCCAATCTAGCTAGCTTTGTGACTCTGAGCAAGTCTATTGAACCTCACTGGGCCTCAGTTTTCCCAGTCTGTAAAATGGAGATGCAATGGCATCTTTCTCATAAGATAGCTGTGAGGTTAAATGAGACAGTTGTGGAGAAGGCGTAGTACAGAGCCTGGCCTACAGTAAGCTCCCAGGAAGCATGAGCAATTCAGATGGGACATGAGGGCTAATGCAGATGCCCCACCCACTTGCATCCAAGAAGATTCCAAGGCAACCTGGGAAAACCGTGAGAGTGGAAAGGAAGAGACACAATCAGGGAATCAACACTGCTGAAGCCCTATAGCTGAGCACGGGAGGCAACTATATATTGAGAGCCAGTCACACAGTGTTTAATCTCCATTTGATAGTTAACAATATTAAGACTCAAAGAGGATGAGTAACAAGCTGAAGGTCACACCACCAGGAAGTGACAGAATCTAGATCTATCTAACTTCTGTCTAGCCCATGTCTTTGGGTATGACTTTATATATCCAAGTCCTCTCTGGTCCAGCTTCCCAAGGGAGTTTTATGTGTTGCAGCCCCTAAGCTGTTCCCAGTGGTCTTCAACTTGGTCAAGTCATTCATTAGTGAGCAAACTCGAAGGAAGATAGTGATTCTAGGAGGTAAGTGACTTGGCCTGCTGTCTGTGCCCATCTCCCCATCTGCCTAAGAAGAGGAGGTCAGTGCTAAAGGCCCAGTTTTTCCTTGGCTCATCCTCCTTACCCAGGTGCTGACCTTGGCCTGAACTGTGTTGGCCTTTGCATACTCAGGCAAGGCTTTGGACCCTGGACGCCCCCTGAGTGACCATGTAAAGCTTTTGGGTGCTCTCAGGAGTAAGTGCCCAAGGGAGCAAGCCAAGAACATATCAGTTCCCCTCCCAGGGCTTGGCCCCCCTGTGCTCTCTGTCAGGCCTCCCTGAGCCCCCGCAGAGCCCTCCTCTTCTCCCTACAGCCAACTGGAAGCAGGAGCTGCTAAAGTTTATCAGCCCCGACCAGCTGCCCATGGAGTTTGGGGGGACCATGACTGATCCTGATGGCAACCCTAAGTGCCTGACCAAGGTATAGGGTGCCCAGAGGTCGGGGAGGGAGGAGCTGTTGCCATAGTCTCACTCACCCACCCTCACCCACAGATCAAGTATGGGAGCGAGGTGCCCAAGAGCTACTACATGCCCAACCAGGTGAAGGTACAGTATGAGCACACGGCGACTATAGGTCGTGGCTCCTCCCTGCAGCTGGAGAATGAGATCCTGTTTCCAGGCTGCGTGCTCAGGTAGGGACAGTGACCACTCACACCTGGGCACAGGTGGGAGGGGCCTGGAGAGCCCAAGCAGGTGGCTATCAGTAGGGCTCTGTTCCCTGCAGGTGGCAGTTCGCATCAGATAGGGCAGACATCAGCTTTGGGGTTTTTCTGAAGACCAAGAAGGGAAAGCAGCAGCGAGTAGGGGAGATGACGGCGGTGCTGCCCAGCCAGCGATACAATGCCCACCTGGTGCCTGAGGATGGGAGCCTCACCTGCCTCAAAGCAGGCGTCTGTAAGAGCTATAGGGTTCACTGGAGTTGTTTTCTTCCTCTTGGCAGAGTAGTGAGCTGATATGTGCGTTGCCATTCTGGCTTCTCTCTTCGCCCTCTACTTCCAGCTCTCAGGGAGGGTATGGGGGTCTATGCAAGCTCCTAGATCCCATGGGCGCCACAGGAATTGGCTTGGAGTGTTGGATCTGATGAGTGGCCAAAGGTGTGGGTACAAGGGCAGAGACTTATTGTGAAGAGCGGGAGTCACGGCCCAGGAGTGTGGACTCAGCTCCTGAGAAGCCCCTATACTGGGCTGGACAGGCTAAGGGACAGGTAGAAAACAGCCATGGGCTTAGCTTCAAGGGTCCCAACCTGACCAGGTGCGTGGACCACCCTACTCTGGGCATCCCGAAGAAACGATTCTTCCAGGTGTTTATACTTCTTTCCCAGGCTGCTCAGACAGATACAGTTTGGTCAGTTTTATGAGAAATAGCACTTCTGGAAAATACTGTGAACCACCCACCCCTGTGAGGAACGAGCTGGGAGAAGGGACACTCAAGCTTGATTTCCTCTGGAGAAGGAGAACAAGTTATACTAGCACTTTAGTTAATACAATTAATGAGAAGAGTAGAGGCAAACTGGATGACTCATCATGTCCCAGAGTCCATGTGGGACCTTGACATTGAAGGACATGCCTTCTACGAAAAACATGGTGGAAAAGTGGCTTATAGATCTCAGCCCTCTCCTTTCAGCCCTTTCCTGCAGAAAACAGGCCTCCACTCTGAGTCGGAGGATCAGGATAAGGGATTCTCTGCCCTTCCCTTCCCTTGTTCTGTAACCAGTGGGAAGTCATATCAATCTCTCTAAGACTCAGTTTTCTCATTCATACAATGGGGATGATAGTACCTTCCATGGGGTTTCTTTGAGGATTCAGGGAGCTGTGAGTGCTGATGTAATGCCTGGCACCTAGAAGGGGCTGATGATGCTGCTGATTATTATTATTCCTTTAGTGAACACAGGCATCATCCAAAGAGATGGCCATGAGGAATGGGCTGAGGGCTGGGCAGTGGCTCATCCTCCAGCCTCAACCACAGTCCTTGGAGGCCCATTTCCAAGGGTACCAGGTATGCAGGTGGGCCAGACTCGGGTTGCCTGATTATCTCTCTGTCCTTATAGATGTCTTGTACTTCGACAACACCTACAGCCTGATACACACCAAGAAGGTCAGCTACACAGTGGAGGTGTTGCTTCCTGACAAGGCCTCCGAGGAGAAGATTCAGAGTCTCGAGGCGACAAGACCGTCTTCAACTCAATGAAAACTCTGGCTGCTTCTGTGCTTGTGCTTTCCAAGCCCCTGAGCAGCCCATTCCCAGTTCCTTGCCATACCAGGGTGGTGTTGGAGGTGACCACAAAGAGCACTCACCCTGCATTGTTACCCACCTGGCACAGTGACCAAGCAGTAAGAAGACACCCAGTGCACAAGCCACCCTGAAGATTTAGATGAGCATCTTCCTCCCTGTTCAAAGAGAATAAGAATGGGAACCCTGAGGATAAACCAGCATTCACTGAGGAAGGATTCTGCTTGCAGAAGCTGCCCTGTATCCCTCCTGACAAAGTCCACCTGTCCCAGCACACATCCACTCCTGGCATCCTGGTTTAGGAGTATGTGCATGAGCCCTAGGCCTTGCAGGGAGCACAACTTCAGGGAGGCCATATTCTCTGCAAGTAGCTAGAGTGAAATGGAGCAGAGCACCCTGGTGTGTGGAGAGTGGAGCTTCCATCCCAGGATGCTCATCCTAGTCTCTGACTTTCCTCTTGGAAAAACATCCAGCTTTTCCTCCATCTTTGTGTCTCCTCAAGAGAACAGCTGAAAGTCGGCTGCCAACACCTGCCCCAACCATGCAACCCAGCAACTGGCCAGTGATAGCTCCTATATCTTGAAACCTGGCTCTCCTTGTGCCCACAGCCCACAGTTAGGACTGCCACCTGCTCTGTTGGCTGACCTGCACTCAGCAAAGCAGAGCTTGCCTTGGAATTAGCCAAGTCAGCCACCAAGCTGGGTGTGGCTCTACAGGTTGATTTTAGGTGGCAATGAAGCCACTGAAGGGGTCTTGGGAGTCCAGGCTGTGCTATCCTGCCCCCTCCCCATCCTGCCCTTTGCCCTCTGGCTGGGCCAGGCCGTTATCTCTGAAGACCTAACTCTGCTGTGGCTTGGCCCTCAGCTCTGGATCCCTGCCCATGAGCTCCTTGTTCGTCCTTTGGTAGTGTTGTCCCACAGGGCAAAGGAATGCTGTCTACTCAGTTGAAGTTCCCAGGAATGAGTGGTCCAATGTCCCTATAAAAGGAATTCTCCCGAAAAGCATTAGTATCCTGGCTGCCAAGGTCCTTTCCCGGAGACTGGAAGCCTCAGCAGACATCACCTTCTAGGTGCTTTGCAAGCAAGAAGCCAGCCTCTGGCTCCTTCCCTACCCCCGCCCCCCACCTTGGATCCTGTGATTTAATTTTCTCCAGTTCATAGGAGGTTTCTTAGTTTCCCAGGGCCTATTTTGGGCAAGAAAACAATAAGACTTGGGAAGGTGGGTGTCTTCAAGTGAGCTTTGTGAAGTCCTTGGGGCCCCTAGCCCCTCCATCTGTGGCAGCTGTATCATTCATGGTTTAGTATACAGAGTATTAACAGGGGCTCTGATGCTATAAAAAGTAAACTAACTAAATGAAACAAAATGCCAAAGCCAGTGCTGTGAGGCCCACCTGGTCCGCAAGTGTGTTTGAGTAGTTTGGCAAGGAAAAAAAATAACTACTATGCCAGCATCAAGAAGACAGCCAGGGGCTATCAGGCAAAATTCACTGGACATCCCCTGTCTGAGGGCTGCTCCTGCATTCCAGATGTGTCAGGCTTTCCCACCACCCCTGTGACACTGCATGGTGACCTTTCATACAGTTTCCCTAGATGCAGCCCTCTGAGGCCCTGTAGCGTCTCAGAGCCTTCTTCCCACTGCCCTTGGCAGGCTCTGGGGGGCATGGCCAACTGGGAAGATCCTATGCCAGGTTTTGCTGGGCCCACCTGCTGTCATGACAGAGGATCACATTGCCTCACTTCTGCCTTCATACCCCTCAGCTAAGAACAAGGGATTCATGGACTTGAACCCTGACCCTGGGCTTTCTAATTATCCACAGCTGATTTTCCACCATCAGCACAGCCTTGTCTGGTTTCCTTGCAGATAGAAAGGGTCTCCCAAAGCTTTGATCACAGAGAATTTACACAAATATGGCTGTAACAAGTGGTCAGGTATGGATGGGCACCAGCGACTCTGAATCCCAGAGTACACCTTGTGTTAAGCTGTAAAGGTAGCAGTCACCTGTGATAGTGTAAACGGAATATCCTACCTGGCAAGGTGGGCAGGGACATTTTGGGAGCTGGACAAGGGGCATGTCTTCAACAACTGCCATCCTTGACTCTTAACACTGTCACTTAAAAAAATAAAATAAAAAGGAAGTAGCCCAGAGAGGGGCTGGCTTGCCTGAAATTTATTTGTTTGTTCAATATTTATTGAGTATGTCTGTTCAGCACCAGACATGGCAGGCTCTGGGGACACCAGAGGCCCTGGTCTGGCTGGACTCTTCTAGCAGGAAAGTTGCCTGTATAGAGAGAGGTAGAAGTGACTCTGACGATCCATTATTGAGTGGGAATGTCATTGCCATATATGCTTGGCAGGGCAGGAGCCAAATTTTGGGGGACCATCCAGCAAAGAAACCTGATGAAGATTCATATGTTCTTTGCCCAAGGAAGGGACCCCTGAAAGAAGAACTGATGCATGTGTGGGGTGAGTAGGTGTGAGCAAGCCTTTCAGACTGAGGAATGGGGTGAGAGTGGCTGTAGGGTGTTTGAGGCTGGAGGAAAAAGCCAGGAGGGCTCTTGGGCAACATTGGTAACTGCTAACTGGTATTTGCTATTTCCTTGTGAACAACTATGTACACTTGGTTGTTAATAAAACCGTTTTATAATGCAGGTTACGAAACAGTCTGTTGTTTATCAGGAAAGAATGGCAAAATCTTGGCAGGTATCCACAGATCAAAATTCTTGCTCAAAATGAGATGCTTAGAAATATCCAGTCCACCTGTTCAGAGGAATGGATCTTGGGCCTGCACTTCCTGGCCCATCTCCTCACCGGAAAGACTCACGATCTTCCATGGGAGGCAGGGTAGGGTCATGGGGAAACCTATATGGGTGTTTTGAGGGCAGTTGAAAAGATTTCCCTGTCCCCCAAATCTCCACCCCAGTCTAGCTCACCTTCCAAAATCCCAGGACAGAGGGGAACACCACTGTGGGACAGTCACAGCTGCCCAGAGCAGATCTTCACCAGAGCTTCATGGCACAGCACTCCACAGTTTGCATATCCCTTTTACATGCAACCTTGAAGCAGACAGGGATTATAGCCCCATATTTCAGGCCAGGAAAACAAGGCTCATGAGGGAGAGTGCCTTGGCCAAAGGCTCAGTGTCCAGTGGCAGAGGTGGAGCCAACAACCAGGTTACTACCAGCAATGTGCCTACCCTGCCTCTCAAGGAAAGAAGGCAAGTGGGCCCAGCCTGGGGCATGGGGCTCACAGTGGGTTAGAGCAAGGTGCTGGGTTCCTGGGGTCCCAGAGTCTGGAGAAAGCTGCTCAGACATCTGTGCCTCTCAGTGGGATGTGACGGTGCCGACTGCACATCTACTGTGTGCCAAGCCTAAGCTGAAGCAGGAAGCATCATTCCATTTATAGATAAGGAGAGTGAGGTTCATTCACTTCAGGAAGTAACTTGTCATTTCACATAACAAAGAGAAGGGTCTCAGAAATGAACCTGGATCCCTCTATCCAGACAGCATGAGAGCTTAATGAGCACACTCAGTGGGCTTATTTCACATTTGGTGACTTCAGAGATGAGACAGAAAGGTGGCCCCTGTGTCGGGCCTGAGCTGAACAGCTCTCAGGTGACCTTCATCTTCAGCCACCAGGGAGCACTATTGGGCCAGCCATGCCCCTGTCCTCATGGAAGCATAAACAAGGTCCCTCTGCATCCAGCCCCAGAAAGGCAGCTTTGTAGGTAGGTTGAGGCCCTGATAGGCCAAGTTCACCAGATCCAGGCTATTTTGGTGCCGTCTGGTGTAGCAGAAAGAGGTGATTCAACCGGGATTCAGATCCAGGTTCTGCAGTTTACGAGCTTGCTTTCTAAATACCTCTGGACCCCATCTACCTCCCTGTGGCCACTGCCCCATCAGGGCCTCCGCCCTGGATGGTTAGAAAGGAGTCCGTGAGTCTCACGGTGCTCATTCTGACCCACTCCCGCCCTGACTCCACAGGGTAGCCAGAGAAATCTTTCTGAAATGAAAATCTGATCACGTCACTCCTTGCATAAGCTCTTCACTGGCTCCCCATTTCCCCTTAAGAAAGGTTAATCTCACTGGTGGCTTATAAGGTGCTCTGCGACCTGGCCACAATACCCCATTCCAGCTTCACCCAACGACCTGAATTCACCAATTCATCAAGCTCTTTCTTGCCTCCCTACCTTTGCTCATGCCATAACCCCACCCTAAGACTCTCTCCCCAGTCTTGTTCTGTGTACCCTCAGAGCCCCTGGAGTCCTCTTCTAGGAGGCTTTCCCTAGGCCCCTTTCCCATCCAGCTCCCAGCAGAGTGAGAGAGTCCCTTCTGTAAGCTCTCAGAGCACAAACACCAGTGCTTACCACACAACGAGTCTTCATCTGCCTGTGTCTGTCTCCTACTCACTCCCAACCACCAGTCCAGGCTTCACTCTCAAGACGCTCAATAAAACCTTGCAGAAAATAATAGATACCATTTACTGAGCACTTATGCAGACCTGCTGCCCCGCTTAGAGTATCTTGTTGTATCTTCATGACACTGTAGACAAAAACAGGGTCACATACTAAACCTGACAAGCTCAGGGGAAACCTGCACGGTGGGCCTTATAAACCCAGAGACCAAAAGTAACCACATCAGATGGTCTGAACATAAACATTCCTAACGAAAAGCTAGTCAAGGCGGTAGTCACAGTAGTCACAGTAGTCACAGTAGTCACGTCTTAGGCCTGTAACTTCCTTGATGAAGGTCAATCTTTACCTTAAATGAGCCTGTCAATTGTCTTTCTGCATCTAAGATAACATACCTTTGAAATGTCAGGGTAATCTCCTTTCTCAGACCCTTCAAGACACAACCTCCACACCAGAGCAGGAGACGGCAGAAATCTTCATTGTAGTCTTGTTCCCCAAATACCATCTCTATGTGCTGTAAATTTTAATTTTGAACTATCCTGTACCCACCAATGTAAAAGAACTATGTGTCTCTTCATTTTACTTTTTATTCATTCTCAGAGATGTCCCCCCAACCCCACATCACTTTGCTTTCTCCCACCCCCTTAACTACCACCAGCGGATTTCACATAACCCTCCTAACATCTCCTCCTTTGATTCTAATGTATAAAATAAGATGCAAAATTGCCATTCTCTAGAGCGTTTTCTCAATCTGTTGAGATTTTGCTTCCTGGCAATTGTCAGTTTGGCTCAAATAAAATCATAAAAATTCTCTACAGGTTTGGATGTTTCTTACATTGACAACAGCTTTGTGAAATAAATATAGTCATCTCTGTTTTATAGGGAAGGAAAGTTAGGCTCAGAGATAGTCATTTGCTCAGCCAGGGTTGGAATTCAGGGTGTCTGAATCCAGAGCTATGTGCCTCCTTAAAAAAAAACAAAACTAAATATAAGAGCTAAAACCATAAAACTCTCAAAAGAAAACTTAGAGATAAATCTTCGAGACCTTGGATTTGGCAATATTTTCCTAGATATGATACCAAAAGCACAAGCAACAGAAGAAAAAGTAGGCAAGATAGTCTTCAACAAAATTTAGAACTTTTCCCATCAAAGGACACTAAAGAAAGTGAAAAGATAGCCCACAGAATGGAAGAAAATGTTTGCAAATTATATATCTGATAAGAGATTAATATCCAGCATATATAAAGAAGTCAACAATAAAAAGCCAAAGAACCCAATTTCAAAATAAAGATATTTTAAAAATTTGAATAGACATTTCTCCAGAGAAGATGTACGAATGGCCAATAAGCATCTGAAAAGGTGTCTGACATCTTTAGTTATTAGAGAAATACAATTCAAAACCACGATGAGATACCACTGGACACCCACAAGGTTGGCTATAGTAATTTAAAAAAGGAAATGTAAAATAAATGTTGGTGACAATGTGAAGAAATTAGAATCCTCACGCATTGCTAGGGGGAATGTAAAACGGCATGGTCACTTTGGAAAACAATTTCTCAGTTCTTCAAAAGGATAAAAATAAAATGACTATACGATCTAGCAGTTCCACTCCTAAGGATATACACAAGAGAATTGAAAACATACATTTCTGCAAAAACTTGTACAAAAAATGTGTATCACAGCATTATTTATAGTAGCCAAAAAGTGGAAACACCCCAAATGTCTATCAACTGATGAATGGATAAAGAAAATGTGATATATTCATATAAGAGAATATTATTCGGCCATAAAAAGGAACGAAGTTCTGATACATGCTACCACATGGATGGACCTCGAAAACATTATGCTGAGTGAAACAAGCCAGACACAAAAGATTACACCCATATGATTCTCTTCATAAGAAATATCCAGAATAGGGAAATCTAAATCGAGATAGAAAGTAGATTAGTAGTTGCTGGAGACAACTTAGATGGTGGTGGTGGTTGCACAACATTTGATTATACTAAAATCATTGAGTTGTACACTTTAAGAATGGTGAACTTATGGTATGTGAATTATATCACACAAAAAAATTTTAATGAAAAAAAGGAACTGAAACTGCCCAAGGGTAAAAGATAGAACACTGACTGTCCCAGGGTGCTACCCAGAGCACCACTGAGACTCTGGCGAATCACCCCTCCAATTCCCTTTCCATCTCCCCTCTTTAGGCATACCCACCTCACCTTACTGTGGTCTGAACACCCCCTACACACACGCACCCTTGCCTTTTCTCAGCGAAGTTCCTGTACCCTCTGGGCCCCTATCTAGGGGCCAGCAGACAGGAATGTGCCTGACGTTGGGGCCGTAGGGGTAACCTTTTCACATTTCCTAGTAAACGCCTAGAAGGAGCGGTTCCAAGATGTGGCGTGGCGTGGCATGTTTCACCCCTTGCCGTTGTTTGCTTATGCGGTTGTCACCATGGTCCCCTGAAAGCTTGCAAACTAGGAGCTAAACACACTCTGGGGACTTACTTGGAGATGTGTACTGTGGGTGGGCATGGGGGGTTCTCCTTTGCCAGAGCTTCTGTTTCAGGGAAGGGAAATTAATCCTGTTGGCCTCAAGATAATTTGCAGCCCTAGGGGACACATAATGATGACTTAGACCATTTATTGAACACTTACTATGTTCCAGGCACAATGTTAAGCCCTTTGAGAGAAGGCAAGGCTAGGCTATGGGTCCAGAGTCAGATTTAGGTTCAAATCCTGGCTCCCCATTTACTGGCTATGTGACCTCAGAAAAGTTTTTTAATCTCTCTGACTTTCCATTTCTTTAACTATAAAATAGGGATACACTTACCTGTTTCCAGACGGGGTTGATAATGGTTTACCGCTCTCAGCACAGAGGAACTGCTCAACAAATGGAAGACTGTGACCTCCATGTGGGCAGGGACCTAATCCATCTCGTTTACTGTCGTATCCCTAGCATTCCCTTCCCCATGCTTTTCATGTTCCCACCTCCACCCCTTTGCCCACACCATCCCCTCCACTTGGGATGCCCTGTCCTCTAATCTGATCGCCACGATCAGCATCTTCCCTTCCTTCAAGATTTGGCTCGAATGCCACCTGCGTCCTCTTGGGGTGACTTCCATGCCTGGGTCCCCTCCCTGATTAGAGTGGAAGCTCCTGTACATGAGACCAGAATAGCCTAACAACAGAACAGTTCATTGTATGGGCTTAACTCTGGATAAGTTGCTTAACTTCTCCATATCTCAGTTTGCTTGTCTATAAAATGGACTTCATAATGGTACCTACCCCCAGGGGTGTTCTGAGGTTTAAAACGAGGTAATGCACTTAAAATGGGGCCTGGCATATAATAAGCCTTCAGTAAATGTGGTAGACCTGTGCTGTCCAATACGGTAGCCGCAAGCTATATGGGGCAATTTAAGTCAAATTAGTCAAAATTCAATTCAATTAAAACTGGATTTCCTTAGTCTCACTAGCCATATTTCACACATGATTAGTGGCTACCAAATTTGTCCAATAAGACAATTTCAATATAGAACATTTGCATCATCACAGAAAGTTCTATTGAATGGGGCTGCAGTTGATGACGATCTATGCACGCAGTAGGTACTCTGTGCCTATTTGTGGTCTGGGTCATGAAAAGCACTTGGGGTGTCTCTGAAAGATCACAGCTCTTGGGAAGACCCTTATACCCTCCTCCTGGCCCTCCCTGCTCAGCCTTTGATGTCCTCAGAAGTAACCGGGTGCCTCATATTAGAAGGATTAAGGAGAGAAAGGAGACTGGTGAGAAATAGGCAGGATTAGGGGCTAATGAGAAGGCAGTAGGGGAACCCAATCTCCGCAAGCTGCCGGCCTGGCAGGAAGAGGGTGTGGACAGTAGCCCAGGGTTTGCAGAAAGAGGCCGGAATGTGAAGTGGGGCGGGACTCGGGTGTGGAGTGTTATCTAACTGCTCTTGGGTGCGTGCAGAGGGCACCTCAGACAGAGGGAAATGGCCCCTGCTTCTCCTGGACCCAACTCTGTCGTGAGCCCAGAGCAAGGAAGGCTTCTGGCACTAATTGACATCAGGTGGCCTAAAGAGGCCCTGAGATAGCCCAGAGGTGGGGACCTAAGATGCCCTATGGATAGGGGACCTTGGGAGAGCCCTGGGCAGAGTGGCTTGGGCTAGCCCAGCTGTGAGGGTCGAGGCTAGCCTGGTGTAGTTTCAGCCCATGCACAACCCTCAAGGCCTGGAAGATTTGGCCACACGGACGTGCTGTGGTCTGAAGCTCATTCACTCCCGATGTCTTTATAGACAGTGGCTAACAATGTGGCTCCTGCCCTCTTGGTGCTTCTGACAGCTGGAGGGGAATAATCTCTTAGATGTACAAGACCCTTGTCACATTGTATCTCATTAGATCTTGCCTTCCAACCAAATAAGGGCAAGTGTTGACTGCTCCATTCCATAAATGAAGCAGGTGACACTCTGAGATGCCATCTTAACCGGGAGGCCTTATCGGGGAGTGAGGAGAAGGACCAGGCCTTGTAGGTACATCTAATGATGGAACCACAGGCAGCATGACAGAAATCAAAGAACAGGGGAAACTTCTGGCCTTTTCTCATCACCTTGCATAGTTGGTGGATGCCCCTCACTGATCAGGTGTTTAAAATCCCAAGAAACATCCTCAGCAATGACCAGAGAGGGCTGCAGGGTGTGGTGTGCTCAGCCTCTTCCCGTGTTGAAGGTGCAGGGCCAGCACTGCACAATAAAATTTGAAATACAGCAGGAAAAGTCGCACTGGCCCTGTGGGAAAAAGAAACCTTCAGCAGGGACACTGGAATTGCATTTTTCTGCCCCAGCATGTCTCTTCTTGAATGCAAACACTTGTTGCAAAAGCATATGAGCCTCCTGCCTAAACAAAGTGAATGTTTACTAGACTGACCAAGTCCCTGACTCCTACCGGTCAGAGCTGGGTAGGGCCGTAGGTGTGGCATCTCTTTATTAGTGAGATGGGGAAACTGAGGCTCAGAGAAAAAGGGTGCCTACAGGAAGCAGTCTTCACTCCCCCTAAAATCTCCCCTTCTCCGAGGCAGTGGCCTCTGGAGGCCTGGGAACACTGAAGGGGGTTCTATAGGCAGTCGGCCTGGGCCTCCACACCATGGGAGTCCAGCCTCACCCCCTCCCAACCTCCTCCACCTGCCTGGGGACCTCTGGCACTTTGTCCCGTGCCCGCTTGCTCCAGACCTGTCCCAGAGCCAAATATGGGACAAACACTTAATCCCAATTATGTAATGAGCGATTCAACAGTTGGCCAAGGAGGAGGTGCCTCAAGCCACACCCAGGATTGGGGCAAAAGGCCCTGCTGGGTCAGGGCCACAGGCAGGCTTGGCCTCTGTCTGCAGTAGCCCCCAGTCCTCCAGCCTCACCCAGCACCATGAGCGGCCGAGTTGGAGACCTGAGCCCCAAGCAGGCAGAGACCCTGGCCAAGGTGAGAGGCCCTTTCCCTGCAGCCCCAAAGGAAAGGGCTGAGGGACGGAGGGGGTGGCAGTGGCAGCAACCTTGCCCCACTCTGTTGTTCATAGTGTCCGTGACATATCTCTTTACTGTCACATCTCCCAAGGTCAGGTCTCACAGTGACATCAGGCCTATCCAGGGAAGCAGTTGAGGGAATCACATCACTTCCAGTTAATAGTGTGGGTGCCAGATCAAGCCTGACTTCTTCTCATTCAGCAGTCAAACCCAAGAGCTTTTTCTGGCAGGTGCCCTCTCGCCCAGTCCCAGGCCCCTTTGGTGGAGAGCCAAGGATGCTGATGGTCTGCCCTCTGGCTCTGTCCCATCTCCCTCCCCAGGACTCTGAAAGGTGACTTGTCTGTAAGAGTCAGGGAGACAGAGTAGAGTGTGTCATCCCTATGGTCAACGGAGAAGAGGACACATGATCCTTAACCATGTTTTTGTAGAAAATAGAATGAAAAAAGGTAGAAGCCTTGGTGGGCTAACTAAGGAAAGATGGAAAGAGCTAAGACTATAGCACAGTCATCACCCACTTATCCTCGGTTTCACTTTCAAGCTTTCGGGTACCTGCATCAACTGCGTTCTGAAAATATAAAATTAAAAATTCCAGAAATAAACAATTCACAAGTATTAAATTGCATGCCGTCCTGAGTAGCATCATGAAATCTCCCGCCTTCTTGATCTTTCTTAGCTGGGGCATGAATCATCCCTTTGTCCAGTGTATCCACACTGTATATGCTACTTGTTTGTTAGTCACTTAATAACCGTCTCGGTTATCACATCGATTATCGGAGAGAGAAAGAGAGAGACCGCATTCACATAACTTTTGTTACAGTATATTATTATAATTGTTCTACTGTATTATTATTGTTGTTGATCTCTTACTGTGCCTAATTTATAAATTCAACTTTATCATAGGTATTTATGTATAGGAGAAAACATAGTATAAATAGAGTTCAGTACAATCCATGGTTTCAGGTATCCACTGGGGGTCTTGGAAGGTATCCCCCGCAGATAAGGGGGGAATACCATACATCTATACTCCAACCCACTTACTCACCCACCCCTTTATTTTTATTTCCATGCATTCTCCCACCCTGACCCACCTATCTATTCATTCCTCCTTCTATTCATTCACCCATAAATCCCTCCTTCCTTCTACTCCCCCACCTGTCTCTCCTCTCTGTCTACCCGTTCATTTATTTCCCCTTCCTTTTTTTCCATTCACCCACCCACTTATCCATCCATTCTTCTTTCTATCCATTTATTCATCCATCTATTCTTTCTTCCATTCACCTACCCATTCATTCACCCACCCATCCAATGACCTATGTCTCCTTCTACTCATCTGCTTGCCCATCCTTCCATCATTGTGGGCCAGATGCATGTGAAAGAGAAGGAATGAGGAAAACAATCACCGAGTCTGGAAACCAAGACTCAGTGTGAACAACACTTTAACCAGCATCTCTCTTCTTAGTTCCGAGAAAATGTCCAGGACGTGTTGCCTGCCCTCCCCAACCCCGATGACTATTTCCTTCTGCGCTGGCTCCGAGGTGAGGGCAGAGTTGGGGGAGCTCAGCCTGAGGGGACAATGAGAAGGGCCCGGTCCCAACTGCTCCAGAATTTCATCTGGCTCTCAGGATCCAATCGCACCATCTTGCTTCACACATTCAGGTCTAAGAGCGGGGGAGTCAGGGAAGAAAAGTCCCACCCTGGGGCCCTCCTTAGCTCCCACTGCTCTGGGACCAGGACCAGGACAAGGTGACTAGAAGGCAGCCTCTTTCCCGCCTCACTTCTTCCTTCCATCTTCCCACAGCTCGGAACTTTGACCTGCAGAAATCAGAGGCCATGCTCCGCAAGGTGAGACCCGTCCCTACTGGAGATTAGGGGAGGGGCTTTGTGGGGACAATCTATGCCTTGAGCCCCTGCTCCATCGCCTCCCGAAGAGTGCTAGGAGCTCAATGGGGCCTCACTATTCATCTCCCTTTCAGTACATGGAGTTCCGGAAGACCATGGATATTGACCACATCTTTGACTGGCAGCCCCCAGAGGTGAGCCAACCCCCCACCCTGCCCCAGTCTTTCACAGACATACCACCCAAGCAGCCTCTAGGTCACTGGAGACCATGGGTGAAAGGCAGCCAGTGGAACCCCCTAAGTCTGCATGTACCTTTCCCGTAATAATTTTGAGCATTTCCTGGGGGCTTATGAGGTCCAGGCCTGGGTTAAGACTTTACCTTCATGAGCTTATTTAATCATCATGACCCTATGAGGTGGGTACTATTCTCATTTTACAGATGAAGACACCGAGGCCCAGCAAAGGTTACCCAAAGTCCCACAGCCCCAAGGTGGGGCTGGGATTTGAGTTCAGGCCTGTCTGTCCCCTAAACACGGGCCCTATACCACCATACTGAGCCTGTGTCTCTGTGCCCTCACCCCTAGGGCCTTGCTCAAAGCATCCTGCCTGGGTGGAAAGGAAACTTAGCCTACCGAGGCATTGAGGAGGATAGTCCCACCGCTGGTGTCCTAGTAAGCAATGGTCGTAGCCTCGTTTGTAGAGCATGAGCTCTGGGCTAGGCACGATTTGCCAACATGATCTTGGGGACTTTCCCCAACAGTCTTGTGAGGAAAGAATTATCCAAACCATTTTACAGAAGAAGAGATGGAATGGGGCTCAGAGAGATGGTGTCACTTGCTCAAGGATGCACAGCAGGGAAGTGGTAGTGTCCGCATTTGAATCAGGTCTGTTGTCCTTCAGAATCCATGTTTTCTGTCATTAAGCCTAACTCCTCTCCATGGAAAGGGACATAGGAGACATCGAGGGCAGAACTAAGGCGCTCAGAGACCTCAGGCCAGACCTGACTGAGGCTTGGCTTTGCTGTGTACCTGCTGTGAACAAGGCCCTCCCCTGAAAGCTCCTCAGTTTTCTCACCTGGACAATAGTGCCACCCTCCATAGAAGGGACAATGCTTTACCACAGTATGTGTAGGCTGAGGCCACCCTAGTCAGCCTGATCTGGGGGTCTCTGGGGAGGTGCATCATGCCATGTTCCATTTATCTTTCCATGCACAGGTGATCCAGAAGTACATGCCTGGGGGCCTGTGTGGCTATGACCGTGATGGCTGCCCTGTGTGGTATGACATCATTGGGCCTCTCGACCCCAAGGGCCTGCTTTTCTCAGTCACGAAGCAAGACCTGCTCAAGACCAAGATGAGGGACTGCGAGCGCATCCTGCATGAGTGTGACCTGCAGACAGAGCGGGTGAGGCCCAGGCTGAGCGTGTGTGTGTGTGGGGTGGGGAGCAGGTGACTGGGGCAGGCGAGGCCACCCTCTACTGTTATGGGCTCTGAGATCAAACACCAGCTCTGCCACTTCCCAGCTGTGCAGACTTGGAAAGTCACTTCACTTCTCTGAGCCTGTTTCTTCACCTACAAAACAGGGATAATAAATAACGGTTGCAAAAGTTAGATGAAATAGTGCAAGTATATGGCCTAGCACACAGGGCCTAATATATTTCTCAATAATGCTAGTTATTGTTATTCCTATTGAGTCTTTGCCCAGCTGTTCCTTCTTTCTGGATAAACCTATCCATAGCACACACACCTACCTTCCATCTATCTCCTGTTTCTGCTTCAGGTCTCAAATTTAGATGTCACCTTCTCTGAGGCCCCTATCTGGGTTAATATGTGTTCCCACAGCTCCTGTACTATGAAGGTCTTGAGGACAAGAAGTATGGATTGTTGAGAATTTTGTTATAATGTCAGTACCTGGCACAAAATAGGTGCTCGATAACTATCAGTTGGACGAATAGAGGGATGAATGAATGAATGAATGAATGGCAGTATGAATACATGGATGGGTAAATGGATGGGTCAATTAATGGATAGATGGTTGGATGGATGGATGGATGAACAGATGGATGGATGGATGATATATGGATAATAGATGATGAATGAATGGTCGATGGATGGTGTGTTCACTGTTTTGTCCACTCAATCCTCTGAGGACAGAGTAGGGGGCTTTAAGAAGCCCTTAGGGGTCATGTGCTGAGTCATCATGTCTTAAGTTCTGAGCCTACGCCCTTATCCTTGCTCTCATCCTCACAGCTGGGGAGGAAGATTGAAACCATTGTGATGATATTTGACTGCGAAGGCCTGGGATTGAAACACTTCTGGAAACCACTGGTGGAAGTGTACCAGGAGGTGAGGAGAAAGCCCCAGAGCACCCCCTGCTTGTTTTAACAACAGTTTGGCATGCTGTGACCTAGCTGCTCACTCACAGACAAGATTCGGTACAAGGTGGTGGCCTTCCTGGACCTTGTCACTGTGACTCAGGACCCGAAGATATATTTCCTACAAGATCCCATAAGACAGGACTTAGGGACAACATATGTTGAGACCATAGGGATCAGCTTCCACTGAACCTTTCCCAGGGTCATTCCTAACTCTATGACTTGAACAAGTTATTGGGATACAAATAGTCTGCATTTGAAAGGGATATAGAGATACTTTAGTGAGTTGATATGTAAAATGCATACACAGTTCATGACAAATAATGAATATTTAATAAACAGAAGTCATTATTATTACTATACTATCATTACTATAATACTTACTCTAAAAATGATTATTATGTAATTATTATTAGGGTGAGATTGCAATAGTCTGAGGTGAGAAGGTCCCCTCCAGGGGACAGTGGAGGTGATGGAAGGAAGGGAAACCCTCCACAGACCTCTGAATGCTCTAAAAGGAAGACTGTAAAGGTGATGGGGGTAGGAGAAGATGAGGTGTGGGCTCTAATGGAGTATTTCTTGGTTCCACAGTTCTTTGGCCTCCTTGAAGAGAATTATCCTGAGACCCTGAAGTTTATGCTCATTGTGAAAGGTGTGCAGCAAGTGACTTCATTTTCTTTTGCCTCCGTTTCTTCATCTGTGACCTGGGGATAATAGTGCCTTCTTCCCTGGGCTATAGTGAGGCAGGTTGGTTGCTTGACTGTATGCAAATCTCTTAGAGTGTCTGGAAAAGTAAGTGCTTCATAAATGATAACTTCTATGGTTGGCCTTACTACAAGAGGAGGCAGCTCCAACTCCAGCTCTTCCAGGAATCCCCTGTCACTTCTCCTGCCACATTGATCTCTCCCTCCCCAAATTGCCTCTGGCACTGGCGACTGGTGCAGCCCAGACTGGTCTTTTCTGTCTGCTGCCTTCTGAGGGACCACCAATTATCTTGTATGTGTTCATCCTATTTTCCTCGATAGGTTGTCTGCTCCTTGAAACCAGGACCTCTGATTCTCCACTTCTGTTGTATTCCTCACAGGCTTGGGGTTTGGTGGATGTTCAATGAGTATTTGGATGGTTGTTGTTTGAGTGAGTGGGTAGGTGGATGAAAGGATGGATGTATGTTTGATGGTTAGCTGGTTGGTTGGTTGATTAGTTGTTTAGTTGGCTGTCTAGTTGACTAGCCAGTTGATGCCAGGCTAGTTGACTGACTGGTGTTTGGTTAGATAGTTGATTGGTTGGGTGGGTGGTTGCTTGGTTGACTGATTGAGTGACTAGTTGGCATTTTGGTTGGGTGAGTAGATAAGTGACTAGTTGGCAGATTGGTTAGTTGGCTGGCTGGTTTGTTGTTTGGCTAGATCTAGGATGGTTGGGTGTTGATTGTTTGAATAGCTGACTGATTGGTTGTTTGAATGGTTGGCTGGCTGGAGAGAGCAGTTAGTTGGGCAGTTAGCTGATTATATAATTAGCTGATTGGTTTACTGGTTGCCTGATATGTTGGTTGATTGTTTTACTATTTGGTAGGTTGGCTGATTGGTTGGTTGGCTGTTTGGTGGGCTGGTTAGAAGATGAATTAATTGACTATTTGTTGACTGTTTGGTTGGTAGATTAAATTTGAGTGAATGGCTGTTTTGTTGGTTTCTTGTTAGTTGGTTGACCAGTTGGTTGGATAGCTTGTCAGGTGCAGGGCACTGAAATTGTCAAGGTAATTTATGATTCCTCCATATCATTGGCTATGACTGTTATGGAAATTTTTGGAATTATTTTCTTCCCATTATTGTTGTTTATATCTCTCCAGCCACTAAACTGTTCCCTGTGGGCTACAACCTCATGAAGCCATTCCTGAGTGAGGATACTCGTAGAAAAATTATGGTGCTGGGAAGTAAGTGATTCTAATTCCATCCCCCGACCTCTGTACATGGGTTTTGGAGTAAGGCTGGTTCATCACCCCGTCCAGAGATCCTCATATCACCTAGACTATGAGGTTCCTCCTCAAAAGTGAGGTGGATCTTACATTGTAGAATCTACGCAGTTTCCTCTGCCTTATTCCCTGCCTTTGGTGGCTAAGTCTTCCACACTTTCCTCCTTATTGGTTTCAGTTGGTTGCTAGTCAACCTCTGGGCAATGGACCTCAGTTTCCTTTCAACACTCATCATCTCAGTGCTTCTAAAGGCAATTTGGGCTGAGGAGGATGAGGAAGAAGAGCAGCAAAAAGAGACATGATTCAGAGAAGGGAGGCTCAAAAAGAAGGGACTGGATAAGTAAATAATGGATCCATTTGGTGAATTATTGGGCAGCCATGAAAAATGATTTCATGTCATGAGAAATGTCATTAGTTTTTATTTTTTAAAAGTAGATTATAAAGAGGTGTGAACAATAAGATCTTATTTTTGTGAAAACAAAAATAAAAAACAACTACAATAAAATGTTAATTTGTGGATGACAAGAAATTTGGTAGTTTTTAATTTTTGGTCTTTTCTATATTTTCTAAATTTTATGATAACATGTATTACTTTTATAAGTAGAAAATGTTGTTATTATTTTAAATGACAGAGAAAGAGAAAGAAATAGAGAAGAGAAATAGTTTCTTAAACTCAAACCAATGACCCTGAGCTTGGAAAATAACTTCTCCCAAGCAGAATGGTCATATCATCAAATCAGGGGATTTGAGAATCTGGGGCTGAGGGAGGAATCGCTTACAAATCCCTGCTTTTTCTCCCTTCCTGATACTTGAGTCTCTGCCTCTGCCCAATACCACTGGGACAGGGATCTAGGTGAATCACAAGGTAGCCCCCCAAATCTTGGAGTAGTATGTGTAGCTACTACATTCCAGATCCAAATCCAGACCTCTTACCCAGTTGGTGGCACACAGGGCTCTGTGTATTTGGCCCTGATGTACCAGACATTGTAGTCTTTACCTTCATCCCTGTGGTGGCAAAGAGTCTCCCATGGTCATATTGGGGTGAGGGAGATAGCCTGGGTTGGTCACAGGACTCTATGGTGACACCACAGGACTAAAAACTCTAAGAGCTTTGCATAAGCACAAAGAATAGTAACAAACATGATGATTGTGGTTATTAAACAGTGGAGTGGGGAGATGTTTTCCAAAGACCCGAGGCTGTCTCTCTCTCACCAAGATGTCTGACCACTTAAACACTGTGTGGCCCCTAACAAGGTCCCTGACCCCACTGGGCTTTAGAGTCACCTAGAGATGACTAGACAACTCTTATCTTCACTACTCATGACTGAGAGATCCTCCAACACCCATCAGCCAGAGGGAAACATGTTTCCATAGCAACATGATGCTTAAAGACACTTCCTATAGCCTGAGGCATGGGAAACTGGGGAATTAGCCTTGGTAACCTAGCTCCTATATGGTTTCTCCTCAAGCTCATATCCTCCTGGCGGGAATGGGGGAATGACAAGTCCTCTCCATGCCCAATAACCACCCTTCAACCCCTCTGCTCCCAGGCAACTGGAAAGAAGATTTGCTGAAACTCATCAGTCCTGAGGAACTGCCTGCCCAGTTTGGGGGGACCCTGACTGACCCAGATGGGAATCCCAAATGTTTAACTAAGGTACAAAGGGCCCCAAGACAGGGGAGGGAAGGGGAGTAGAGCTGGGTTCCTGTCTCACCCATCCATTCCACAAATGTCTATGGAGAGACCCCTGTGAGCCAAGTGTTGAGTAAAACAGCCACAGCCCTGCCCTCACAGAGCCCTCAGCAGCTGTGCGGGCAAACAAGAAATGAGAAAAATTTTGACCCAGAGGGATGAGCTGGAAAAGGAAGTTCCCAGAGGAGACCCTGACCCAGCTTGGAGAGTCAGGGAAGACTTCCTGAGGGGTAGGGGAAGACAAAATGAGTAGGATACTTCCAGGAGATGGTGAAAGTGTCTCAGGTAGGAGTAACAGCATGAAATGGCACGAACAACACAGTACCCAGAATAGGAGAGCAAGCCCATTCTGTCCTGTGTCTGCAGATCAACTATGGTGGAGAGATCCCCAAGTCCATGTATGTGCGGGACCAGGTGAAGACTAAGTATGAGCACTCAGTGCAAATCAGCCGTGGCTCCTCACACCAAGTGGAGTACGAGATTCTGTTCCCAGGCTGTGTCCTCAGGTAAGGACAGGCCATTGACACCTATCTGGGCCCTAGCCTCTCAGGGATCCATCAGACAGAGCAATAATCTGTCCCCTTCCCCCCATCCACACACAGGTGGCAGTTTTCATCTGATGGTTCAGACATTGGCTTCGGGGTTTTCCTGAAGACCAAGATGGGGGAGCGGCAGAGAGCAGGGGATATGACAGAGGTGCTACCCACCCAGCGCTACAATGCCCACATGGTGCCAGAGGATGGGAGCCTCACCTGTGCAGAAGTTGGTGTCTGTAAGTCTGTCCCAGCTGGGCCCCAGCTCCAGAGGGCTAAAGTCATCTGTCCCATGGTTTAGGGGAGGAAACAGAAGGGAAGTGACCCCCCAGGGACACAAGACCTAGGTTAGTGCCATTCATTCACACAACCACTCATTTGGTTCACACCCATGGGTACCTATTGTGCATTAAGAGCCAGAGACCCACAGACTCTGAAGGGGTCGAAAGCCCTTGGGCCACAGGACATAGGCAAGGGACAAGAAGGCAGATGTAACTCTCCCTAGGAGGAAACTTAGGAAACTCTGAGAAGTAAATCAGCTTGTCCAGAGCCACATATTTGAGTGTGGTGCCAAGGTCCCACCTCAGCCTTGTAGTAGCTGTGTAGCCCTCGGCAAAATCTTACCAATCTGGGCTTTTGGTTTGCTTACCTGTGAAACAGAGATTATAACCCCTGCCTCTCAGAGTGTCTGTGAAGAGACAGAAAGCATGTGCAGGCCTGGCTCAGCACCCCACTTCATCTAAGGGGGCTCAGAGGTCTCTGACATTCCCGACTGCTCCCTTGAACTCCTGTTATGCAAGTGTGCAGGTGTGGAGACAATGGGATGCAGTGGCCATTGTTCTCATTGCCAGTTTGTGCAACTAAAGCCAGTCTGTAAATGTGCCAGGGGGAGGTCAGTGTCTATTTACAAGTTCTGCTCAGGGGTGGCAATTCCCATGGGGAAGGGAACAGGAGTGGTGGGAACTTGGCCCAGCTTGGCAAACACAACAGGTGGCAACACAGCCTGTCCTTCCCTATGGCTGGGGCAGAGACACAGGGAATGTAAAGCCAGCCTCACCTACATTTCCACTCATCTGTTCCTCTAGACGTCCTGCGCTTCGACAACACCTACAGCTTTGTCCACACCAAGAAGGTCAGCTTCACAGTGGAGGTACTGCTCCCGGACGAGGGCATGCAGAAATACGACAAGGAACTCACACCTGTCTAGGCAACTTCCTCACTTCTCAGAGACCCCTAATCTTCTGCTTTCTCTCTACATATCCTACCCTTCCCCCAGAAACTGATCATTAGTTCTCCTGGCTCTAACATTAGTGAGTAGAGAAAGCTTCTGTGGGGAAGACTCATATGCTGTGGTCAGATCAGGAGAGGTATGAGAGGCATAGCCTTGGAGGATACCAAGGTTGCAGAAGAGGAAGAAGCAAGGGTAAAAGCAAGAAGTGGATGTCACTGAAACCCAAGAAATAGTAAAGTAAATCTCCTTGCCTTTGCCATGACTTCTAAGGCATTTATATGTACTTGAATTCCTTCGTTATGAGCTATAAGCAACTTGGGTTGGAGCTGTATCTAAATTATTTTTACTTTTGCTCCTCATAGAGTAGACGCTCAGTGTAGCCTTGTAAAGTTAAAAGGAGGTAGGGAGCAGGTGATTCATGGATGTGCATGACAAGACAGAACATACCCGGGAAGATTTCAGCACCTTGGACAGGAACAAAGCCAGGAAAGGGATGAACTTTCTTAAAGATTCAATCAGGTTCCAGATTTCTGGCAGAGGCTGCCCCCTTGGGTAGGTAGGAGATGCTTATATAAGGCTCTATCTGAATTGGGGCACGCAGTTTTCCCCACCCATCACTCCCACCCTCATCTCTTTTCCTTGAAATGCACAGCTTATGTTTTAAGCGGTAGGAGATGCTTATATAAGGCTCTATCTGAATTGAGGCACACAGTTTCCCCCACCCATCACTCCCCTCATCTCTTTTCCTTGGAATGCACAGCTTATGTTTTAAGTAATTTAAGAAAGTTTCCTGGAAGCAAAGTAGGTCACATCTGACTCTAGTTGCTGCCCAGTGATAATAATTAAAAAATCATAGCTATCATTCAGTGAGTGCTCTTTATGTACCACACACAGTGCCAAGTACTTTATGAGTTTAGCTGACTTCACTCTCACACCTCCTCCAAGACTGCTTTTCGTGTCCACCTTATGAGTAAGGAAACTAAGGTTCAGAGAGGTGAAGTCATTCACTCAATATCACACAGCTCTTAAGTAGCAGATCCAAAACCCAAGGGTGTTTTGTTTTGTTTTTTCTTTACTCCAAAGACATGGCTCTTAATTACTCCATAATATCTCCAGCTGGGCCTGGGGCATTGCCCTCTCCTCATCCTCTTCCACATCATCCTTGAACATGAGGCCTCCATGCTGAACTACAGCATCTCGCTATCCTGCTGAGACCCAGGACCAGACCTGGGGATCACTGAGAGGTACCTGGGGGACAATCAAGGGGACAGAGGGACTCATCAGCTTAGAGTGTACCTGAAGCAAGTTTCCTAGGAAGCCATGGAGAGGCTCACAATATGGGAGCTCATTGCTCCTTAAAGCCACATTAAAGGACATCTGCCCCATTACTAGAGTTTAGGGACAGATGTTTAGCCTGAGAAAAGGACAGAAGTTTTAAAGTTAGCCATAAGCGACAGGACTCTAAAGCCACTGAAGGCACCCTGTCTGGGAAGGGTAGCCCAAGTACACAGGTTCAGACCCAGGTAAGTTCAGACCAGACACAAAAAAAGGATTGGTTACTAATGACCAAGTACAACAAGATAGACCTTTACACACAATTATACCAATAGTCTAGCTAAGCAAGACCTCAGGGTAAGGATGAGCCCTCTGCCCTCCCTCCCCCTCCATCAGCAGCCCCACAGACCCTAGTTGAAGATGAGGGTGTACTTCCTCTGGGGCAGTTCAGGTACTGGCTCTGGGAGCCCACACACTCAACCACATGGAGTTTCATGGCTCAGTTTAACACAGGCTGGATACAGGCTTTAGAGTAAGCCACAAGCCTTCCACATGGGCAGGTGGCAGGGCATCTGAAGGAAGAGAAGGAAGAGGGTTATTCTTGGTATGTAGTTATGGCCACCTTCTAACAGATACATACTTCATGCCTGGTAGGTCACAGCCATAATTCCATTTATTCCTGAATTCTCCTTAAAGTGTTTGTTATTCCCATTTTATAGATAGGGTGATGGAGGCTCAGAGAGGTGGTTGAATGTCACTTCTCTTACCCTGGCCTTATCTATCAAATGGGTGCACACCTGTCCCACCAAGGATGGAAGACTGGCCAGAAACAGGATGGTGCATGTGGCCCACATTTTCCCTTAATCCTTGGGCAATCCTCAGGGGTCCACACTCCATCCCCTTCTATACACACCAGCCCAAGATTCACCATACAGGACCTGGAGGGCTCTTTGAGAGGGGTTCTTTAGAGGGCCAGACAGGGCCCATTATGGGCTGGCTACAGCAGAGCTGTTCACCCCTACCCAAGGAGCAGCCTGGGTTGGGTGGCTGCAGAGAAAGAGGCACCACAGGTCAAGGACACCCAGTGAGTCCCCACAGTAAGACTGGAGGGCAAAGCCCTAGGTAAGTTTTCTCAGCAGGAGGTAGTAGAAGTTGGAGAGCTGAAGGGAAGCTGCTCAAATAAGCTTGACAAGCACTGAGTACCATCATAGCCACCACTGGGGGATGTTCCACACATTTTGTGAACCACATAACCGCTTCTATTAAAAATTTTTTTTTAATTTTTCAATTACCATTGGCATACGATATTATATTAGTTTCAGGTGTGCAACATGGTGATTAGACATTTATGTAGCTTATGAAGTAATTGTCCTGATAAATCTAGTACCCATCTAACATCATACATAGTTATTACAACATTATTGACTATATTCCTTATGCTATACTTTATATCCCCATGACTATTTTGTAACTACCACTTTGCACTTCTTAATCCCTTCACCATCTTACACCCACCACCCCAATCCCACTTTCATCTGGCTGGCAATCATCACAATGTTCTCTGGATCTATGAGTTTGTTTCTGTTTTGTTTGTTTATTTTGTTCTTTAGATTCCACATGTAAGTGAAATCATACGGCAGTTGTCTTTCTCTGTCAGACTTACCCCACTCAGTATAGTACCCTCTAGGTCCATCCATGTTGTTGCAGATGGCAAGGTTTTGTTCTTTTTTATGACTGAGTAATATTCCATTGCACATATATACCACCTTTTCTTTATCCATTCATCCATTGATGAACACCAGGTTGCCTCCATACCTTGGCTATTGTAAATAATGCTGCAATAAATGGAGTCACATGTCTCTGGAGTACTGTTTTGGGTTTCTTCAGATAAATACTTAGAAGTGGGATTACTGGGTCCTTTGTCTCTTGTTATAGCCTTTGTTTTAAGGTCTATTTTATCTGGTATGAGTATTGCTACCCCAGCTTTTTGTTTGTTTGGTTCCACTTTCATGAAATATCTTTTTTCATCTCTTTACTTTGAGTCTATGTGGGTCTTTTGGATCTGAAGTGAGTCTCTTGTAGGCAGCATATGTAAGGGTCTTGTTTTCTTATCTATTCAGCCACCTTAGGTCTTTTGATTAAAGCATTTGTTGCATTTATATATAAAGTAATTATTGATAGATATGTAGTTATTGCCATTTTATCATTCATATTTTTTTATATTATTTCTTCTTCTTCTTCTTAAAGAAGTCCCTCTAACGTTTCTTAGAATACTGTTTTGGTGTTGATGAATACCTTTAGCTTTTTCTTGTCTGGGAAGCTCTTTATCGTCCTTTGATTCTAAATGGCAACTTTGCTGGGTAGAATAATCTTGGTTATAGGTCCTTGCTTTTCATCACTTTGAATATTTCCTGCCAACCCCTTCAAGCCTGTAAAGTTTCTTCGGAAAAATCAGCTGACAGTCCTATGGGAATTCCCTTGTAGGTAACTAATTGCTTTTTTCTTGATGCTTTTAAGATTCTCTTTGTCTTTAAACTTTGGCATTTTAATTGTGATGTGTCTTGGTGTGGGCCTCTTTGGGTCCATTTTGTTTGGGACTCTCTGTGCTTCTTAGACTTGCATGTCTATTTTCTTCACCAGGTTAGAGAAGTTTTCTGTCATTGGTTCTTAAAGTAGATTTTCAATTCCTCGATCTCTCTCTTCTCCTTCTGGTACCCCTATGATGTGAATGTTGGTGCACTTGATGTTATCCCAGAGGCGCCTTAAACTATCTCCATTTTGGGGGATTATTTTTTTCTTATTGCTGTTCTGATTCAGTGTTTTCTGCTACCTTATCTTCTAAATCACTGATTCAATCCTCTGCTTCATCTAATTTTCTGTTGATTCCTCCTAAGGTATTCTTCATTTCAGTTATTGTATCCTTCATTTCTGACTGGTTCTTTTTTATGTTTTCTACTTCTGTTTTTATGTGTTCTATCTCTTTGTTAAAGTTCTCATTGAGTTCCTCTACTCTTCCCTTAAGTTCATTGAGCATTCTTATAACGAGTGTTTTGAACTCTGCATCTAGTAGATTGCTTGTCTCCATTTTGTTTCATTCTTTTTCTGTAGCTTTGTTCTGTTCTTCCAGCAATTCTGTCTAGGAGAAAGATACCCCTCCAACCCTTACCCTGAAGCCAAACAACTCATTTTCCCTCCATATATACCATATCTTTGTTTTCTCATTTTGGCTGCCTCTTTATATGTTTGTTACTATGTATTATGTAGGGCTACTATGTCTCCCAGTCTTGGTAGAGTAGCCTTATGTAGTAGATGTCCTGTGGGGCCCAGTGGCACAGTCTTCCTTGGTCACTTGAACTAGGTGCTTCAGGTCTGTCCCTTGTTTGAGTTGTGTGTACCCTCCTATTATAGTTGAGCCTTCATTGCTGTTTGCACATCATTGGGAGGGACTGACCTTGGGTTGATTGGTTGTGAGGACTGGCTAGTGAGGGGTTGACTCTGCAGAACAGAATTGGCTTTAGCAGTGATCTGGTGCCTGCCCAGTCTGCCCTTTGGTTGTGTCGTCCTCAGATGCGGCCCCAGCTGAAGGCTGGGTCAGAAGCTTTCCATGGGGAATGCTGGCCCCAGAGCCTCCTGGGAGGGGCCTCACTGCAGGCCAAGTTCAGCTGCAGCCTGTGCCCTGTCCAGGGTCACCTGGCAAGAGCCGCCAAGCAATCCATAGATGGCTGCCACCCATGCTGGGCTTAGAGGTGCCTTGTGAGGCCACGCCTCAAACTGAGGCCAGCTGCTGCTAGTATCAGACTTTGGGCTATTCAGCAAGAGATATGGGGCATGCCAAGTCCATATGCTGCTTGTTTGGGTTTTGTAAACCTTTGAGAGATTTTACAAAAGTTCATAGCATGAGCCAAGAGAGGCCATTTGTATGGGAAAGCCACTAAAAGTGGCTTGGGTGGGTCCGCAAGTTAGATGGGGCAGGAAATCACCAGGATGGGGCAACAAGTGTTAGCCAGGTTGACGGAGACTCAGATATGACAGCCGCCTGCATCTGCACGCTGGGAAGGGGGACAGCTCAACAAAGAAACAATGGATTCTGCCAGCAGTTCTGTCTAGGCAAAAGCTGCCCTTCCATCCCTCGCTCTGAAGCCTGACAACTCAGTTCCTCTCCATATGTACCTGGCACCTTTCAATCTGCTGCTCCAGTGCTGGAGCTCAGAGCAAGTGAGTCTGTCAGTGAGTAAGTCTCACGTGGGCCCCTTAAGAGTTATGTCTGCAA